AATTAATAGCAGTGGGTTGTTGGCAGAGCATCCCATCTCCTATCACTTGGGTCTGTGTGGTTGAAGAGGGCTGGGATGCTTCTCTGGAGGGCTGGTAGATGTCCAGGGTTTGTATTCTTCAGCACTGAGGAAAACCCTATGGGACAGCAGGAGATAACTAACAAGATTGGAGGTTTGGTACCCCCAGCCCTGGAAACCCTGTGAGTCGAGCAGCGCCCAGGCTCTTGAACGAGTGGGTTCCATGTCCTCACTGGGACACCTTTGCAAATAGAACACACCACTGTCCCACATGGCATACCCACCCTAGGAGGCCAATGAGAAAGGCCACCACAGTATCTTCTGCTTTCACAGCACTTCTTTGCTCCCTCGCCAGGTGACTGCTGAGGAGCTGTGCTCACTTCTCAGCCAAGTCTTCCAGATTGTTTACACTGAGTCCACGATAGACTTCTTGGACAGAGCAATATTTGATGGGGCCTCCACACCAACACGGCACATGTCCTTACACAGTGGTAAGTCTGGGCTCTCCCCCTTGCTTCTTTCTTACTGGGCCTGTTGGAGAGTCTCTCCTCATCTTCACCAATGTCCACCACCTCTTTCCGGCCACCCTCTGAGGTCAGAGCTGACCTGGTGGCTTCTCTCCTGCAAGGTACTGAAAACAACCCTCTCCTCTGCTTTGAGTATGAGTTGGATAGGCATGAAGGCTCTCGGGTGCCTGCAGATGTTTCCGCAGCTGGACTGTGAACATCAGCCATCATCCTTCCCCCCCAGACCCTTCGCTTTTCTATTTATGTTGGATGGAAGCATTTCATAAAACAATCCCTTTGTGGTTCTGCATCTCTGCTCAGTCTATGTCCAGTCCTCCCACAGCACCACTGGCACCATCCTGGCCACATCCAGGCCCCAGCCCTGCACCTCTCACCTTCCAGCTGGGAAAACCAAGTCAGAAATCAGTTTGTGTAGGTCATGGGCTGGGAAAAGTACCAAGTTTCTGCCTTTCAAACTCCCATGTCTCGAATGCTTTCCTTGCAGATGACTCTTCTACAAAAGTGGATGTTAAGGAATCTTATGAAACGGAAGCAAGCACTTTGTAAGTTAAATGTGGCGTGCTGAGCTCGCTTAGCACTCGGGCTTCTTAGTGTGGCCTCACTGCCAGGTTTAAAGCCCCTAGAGCAGGAACTGCTGCTGTCTGCACATTGAAAAGCTTCTGCTCAGTCTGGCTGAAACACTGGATGGTGTTTTACTGTCTGTGTGCAGTGCCCTGGTCCCTGCCTGGATTGGTCCACCACCATGGGTTTCCAGAGAAGGTCACGTACACAATGTATGCCCAGCCCCCTGCGTCAGCAAAGTGGGGATAGATACGATGCTTGCCTGGCTGCTTTGCCTTGGTGAAGTCCAAGCTGGAGTGGGGAGAAAGGTTTTCGCAAAACCTCTGTATTTTGGAAACCTTTTTCCTCCTGAATCAGTTGAAAATGTTGATGACATTTGTGGGCTGAAAACCTGACACACAAAGCAGTTGTTTAAAATTGGCTGATGGTATTTGAAAATTTAACATTTAACTCCAAAATAAGGGGCTTAGGTATTTTTTCCCCCATTCCAGAGAAAGCAGTTGGAGGGGAGATTTCCCCACATAAGCCTTCATTTTCAGCAGGTCACCAAACCAGTGTAGTTAAAGTCCTCCCCTGTGCTATGTGGGAGCCTTCAGATGCCCTCAGGAGCTGAAGGCTGCCAGCCTGACTGCAGAGAGCATGTCTCCATGTGCGTCTCCACTCTTCCAGGCTTTCCCATGCCATGACCATCAGTGATGCAGAAGGTGCTGAGGAGACTGGAGGACTCACTTTCTGTTGCATTTCAGTTCTTTTCCAGAAACCTTGGATGCAGGTGACAACTCCCCCTCTTCCTTTTCCACGCAACAGTCTCCACACATTAAGACAGTCAGTGAGAGTGAGCTGAGCACCACAGCAACAGAGCTGCTCCAGGACTACATGATGACGGTAGGGTGTCCTTGGGGTGGCAGGACCTTGGGTGGATGGATTTTCTTCCCTTTAAGTCATTCAGGTGCTCTTGGGATTTGGTTTCATTGCCTTGGTGCATAGAACACGACTCATGCTGTTGTAGGAACATCTCATCCTCCTTTTCATACAAGATGTACTTGGAGGCCTCGGGGGACCTGAACACAGGCTTATATCCTCCTGCAGAAGCATCCCGATCCCTTATTCCCCTTCCACCACGTAAAGGCATGCCACACCATCCGCAGTGCGCCAGGTCCGTCACTTCATTAGTCACAAGTGCTGTATACACCCACAGTTTGTCCCTGCTTGAAAGCTGCCAGCTCAGGGGTGGGTCACACCAGCCTGTCCTGCTTTTCCATTGGGATGAGCTGGTTCATTACTGTGGCTCCTATCAAGTTGCAATAAATCTGATAAACGCCATTCCCAGGCTTCACATCATCTCTTCCTCCTAAGAAAACCTCAGTGGCGTTTGCACTCTGCTTCTGTTCTGCAGCTCCGAACTAAACTCTCATCCCAAGAGATCCAGCAGTTTGCAATGCTTCTGCATGAATATCGCAATGGGGCTTCAATCCATGAATTCTGCATCAACTTGAAGCAGCTCTACGGGGACAGCAGGAAGTTCCTGCTCCTAGGTGAGTGGCAGCTGCCAGGGATCAATTGTGGGTGACCAAGCGGAGGGTGAGAGCCAGCATCAGTCTGCTCCCAAGCCCTCGTGATGTGGCTGGTACCACTCAGTGATGCATGGGCCTCCGGAGGTGGCAGAGAGATTCCTTGGGATGTCACCAAGCAAGGGACAACATCTCAATTTGTCTCTTCTCTGGAGGTACCTCTTTCCTGAGGGCAGCTGGGTCCATCTTGCCCAGGCCCCAGCCTCAGAGGCTTGAGTTGCTCTTCAGGACGCTCACCTCCTGACTGCAGAGGGAGCCTCCAGACCAGGCAGTAGGCTTTTGTGTGCCCACTGGTGTAGAGAGAATGTTCTGGTCCTTGGCCAGCCATGCAGTGCCTGACACTAAGTGATGCTGGTGGTGGATATGCTACACATCCAAGCATATTGAACCTGTGTTCTGTGGTGGGGACTTCATGGTCCTGGGGGAGGATGTGCACCATGACAGGGGAGCAGGACCTGTCTCTTCCCTGTCATTAAAAGAAAGCTGAGAGCCACAGGGACTCTTCACATCCCTCCTTCCTCAAACTCCCTGCTTTGATTTTGGGAAGAGAACGGAAGAACAATTGCTATCATCTACCTGGACGTATGCAAGTCATTCAACACTGTCCCACACAACTTCCTTGTCTCTAAACTGAATGGACATGGATTTGATAGATAGACCACTCAGAGGATAAGGAGCTGGCTGGATAGTCACACTCAAAGAGTTTTGGTCAACAGCTCAATGCCCAAGTGGAGACCAGTGATGAGGGGTGTTCCTCAGGGGGTCATGTTGGGACTTGCACTGTTCAACATCCTTGTTAGTGACTTGGACACCCTACCTCTAATTACAAACAAAACCAAGTTAGTTATTTAGAATCCTCAAAGGGTAATGGGTGGTGTGTCCAGCCTGCACACTGCTGCCCCTCTGTTTCACAGCAGGTGACAGCCACCCCCCCGGGGGCCCTGTCCCACGGTGGGAGGCATGAGGGAGACAGCACAGATGTTCCCTGAGCACAGCCTGCAGTGTGGGCTGCAGCCATGACAGCAAGAAGCTCAGTAAAGCTGAGCAGTATGTTTGGGTGAGGAATTGGAAAATGATCCTTTTGAGCTCAGAAAATCCCACTTTAGCAGGATGTTTTAAGCTGCAGTTCCCAGGGGTGTAAAATGGGAGCTGGAGTCCTCGGGAGACCTCATCCCTCCCCACCCAAACCAGCCTCCTCTGCTGAGCCCTGTGCTGTCTGGGGGAGGTGGGGCACAATAGTGCAGCAGGGCTCTGCTGGAACACTCAGAAACCCTGGGGAATTTCAAACAGCTGAGCAAAACCATGTGGAAATCCATCCCAGGTGTCTGTGCCATACAAGTGATGCTGACAGTTTCTTCCTTGTGTTTTCTTCCCGGCTCCAGGTCTTCGCCCCTTCATCCCTGAGAAGGACAGCCAACACTTTGAGAACTTCCTGGAGACCATTGGGGTGAAGGACGGCCGAGGCATCATCACAGACAGTTTTGGGAGGTACAGGCGGACTCTGAGCACCACCTCCAACTCCACCACCAATGGCAACGGTGCTGCCGGCAGCTCGGACGACCAGTCCGTCCCTTCCGAGGAGGATGAGTGGGACCGGATGATCTCGCACATCAGCAACGACATTGAAGCCCTGGGGTGCAGCATGGACCGCGATTCCTCCTGAGAGCAACCGGGGGGAGGATGGAGACACCCCACAGTGGCACTGGGATCCTCACCCTCCTTCTGGAAGAGGTTTTGGAGCTCCATCAGGATGCAGTTACTCTCCCATCCTCGTTCACAGCTCCAAGGGGCAGCTGGTGCCCTCTTACCATGGAGGGCCCTGGGGCAGGAGCCCAGCCTGCGGCCATCTCTGGTTTGGTTTTACCGGTGCAGCAGGGAGACAGGTCGCCTACAGCCCTCTGCCTGGTTTACAGTTTTGCACATGGTATCCCTATTGTAACTGCTCTCCTCCTCCTCTTCTTCCTCCCCCTGTTTTTGAATGAAGTTTACCACAATGTGAATTATTTAAACCTGGTGTTGATGTTGTCGAAACATTTCGGCTCCAGCCCCACAGGAGAAGCCGCGGATGCCCGTGCTGCTGCGGACCGGCCTGAAAACCCCACCATGTCCCTCTAGCTCTGCTCAGGAATACCAGGGTGCCCAGGAGCTGGAGAGGGGGGCACGCAGCAGATGTTTTCCCCATCAGTAGGCTCCTGTGTGCCCACAGACCCCCGTGTCTGCTGCAGCATTGCCTTCCTGCCAAGCACAGAGCTTTGCCCCATGAGACCCCCCCTTCCTCAAGTCTGAGGAACCCCACAGTCTTCCCTGGCACCCATCCTGGGGTGCATGGTGGCTTCTGGGGCTCTCTGGGGACCATGCTGTCCCTGAGGGCCACCACCAGGATGGGAGAGCTGACCCCAGACCCACCCCAGGAAGACTGGGGAGGAAGGGCTGCAGGAGGGATGTACATGTCATATATGTTTTATATACAGTTATAAATACACACTCATTTTTTTAATTGGAATCCCCATGCAGAGGGAGAGGTGTCATCTGCAGGGGGCACCACAGAAGGGTGTGGCAGGGGTCCCTAGTTATCCTAGAGGAAGGATAAGGCTAGAAGAGGGATAGGACATCCCAGACAGCACCCTAGGTCTAGACAGAGGCTCTGGCAGGGCTGGGAGTGCTTTGCGGGCAGATGGTGGCTCAGCAGTTTGAGAGATCAGGCCTTCCCCCCCAAGTGCCTTTAACCCCTGCACTGCCCTCACAAGCCCCCAGGGTCCTCCTCCAGCCTCCTTCCTGTCCATCCCAGGCAGAGACCAGCCTTCATCCTTCCATCCTCTCCCTCCTCACTTTGCTCTGGCCATTCCTTACCGGAATTACCTGCCCTTCCCAGGATTACAGGAGTTGGCCCTCGGTACGATCTGGCACGGAGTCACCATCCTCTCCCCCTGTTAGGCTGGGGTTGGGGTGACCCCAATTCTGCTCCAAGGGGGTCCTCACAACCCAAATCCTTCTTTCTCCTTGACTTGTGGGGTACAATGAAGCCACATCACCCCAGTGCCAGGCTGGGATACAGCTGGCCCTTTCTCTTCCGGTTTCAAGGCTGAAAAGAGCAGGAGCAAAGGGTCCCAAGCACACAACCTCCAGCAGGAGGAAAGGATTTAGCCAGGACATACCCATCCAGGAGAGCATCTTCCCTGGAAACAAGCTGTGATGGAGAAGCTCAAGGTTTCCTACTGCTCTGTGTTTTTGCCATCCACCAAGGGAAAGAAAGGGAGATGAAGGTCCCAGCTCCATCCATAGGGTCCCTGAGTGTTGGGGTCTGAGATCTTCCTCCTCCTCTTCCTCAAGCCTGGGAGGCAGCAGCATGGGGCTGGAGTTGTTTCAGTGCCTTTTTATGATTTACAGATTAAAAACCAAATTGCACATGTGGATGTTCAAGACATTAACAACTTCAGGAGATTTGGAAGAAAAAACACACCCTATTTTTGACATGATTGTGTATGGAGAGGTTTAAAACAAGCTGTAACCACTCGCAGTGGGTTATTTTAATACTCTAATGGGACTTAAACCTGGGAATAACCTGGGATGTGGCATTCTGGGAGCCAAGGGGGTTTTCCTGCCTCCGTTTCCCCATCGGTGGCACCGGGAGGTCGCGTGTGTCTGTTTCTGTACGGAGTGTTGTTACAGGTGAATACAGTTCTGCACCTGACAGTGGTCTGTCTCCTTGCTAAAGCCCTTGCTCAGCCCTCTGAGGTTGCCCAGCTTCGTTAAGCACCTCTAATTAGCAATAGGAGGGTAAAGCCCTGATGGCTTCGGAAGCATCTTGGGACTCCTGTCACCCCATCCCACCCCATGCCCACTCCCAGACCCCAGCCACACAAATTCCCCAGGTGCCCCATCCCATGCTGGGAACACGGGTGCCCTCCAAGCATCCCCAGGGATGAGACGTGGGGCTGCAGGAGCCAGGGGACAGCCCAGAGCCCCCCCAAATCACCACGAAGGGAGGCGGGGTGCGATCCAAGTGATACATGAGGCCATTTATTGAGCGGTACGGACGCAGAGAAGTATGGGGGGGGTCTAGAGGAAGGATGGCAGAAGAGGGGGTAGTAACTGTGCATCTATACAGGGGGGCCGGGACAGGCCCAGCCGCTACATGGTCAGCTCCTGCGGAAGACAGCAGAGTGTGAGGGGACCACCCCACAGCACCCCAATTCATGCTAGGGGTGCCAGGGGGTCCCCCCCCTTCCCAGCCACTCACCATGATGGCGTTGACTATGTCATTGTTGTTGTGCCGAAGCGCCCGCACAGCTTTGGGGCGCGAGACATTGGCCTGGGCCATCACCAGCTCGATGTCTCTCACCTCCAGTCCCGTCTCATCCACCTGCAAGGTGGGAACACCACTGTCA